CAAGCAATCACAACACCCCCCCCCCCCTTTTAGTTTAATTGTAGTTAGTTAGTTTATTTACACTAGTTCTATTGAATTGCATTGGTGATTGAATACAACCATTTTCCCGAGGATCGATACCCCTTTTTACCATTATATTACGTTTTATTTGCAAACAAAGGGTGTAATTTGCTTGGTGGACTTGACATCCCACCACTATACCATTTCGAGATTTTTCAAAACATGATGGGTATCTTTTTTAAGGTTCTCGGTTATGTATTCCATTATGTTCTCTTCGGGACTCGATTATTTTGGAAACTCATGCAGGTGGTTTAGCAGGACATTTTGGGCGAGACAAGACCATCGACTTAATTCGTGGTCGCTTTTATTGGCCCAAAATGGAGCGTGATGTTTCTCATATCATTGCAATATGTCGTGCTTGCCATGTTGCCAAAACTCACCACACTAATGTGGTTTGTACACCCCATTAGATGTACCCAAAGCCCCATGGGAGGATGTTAGTTTGGATTTTGTTATGGGACTACCCCGCACCCAACGACACAAAGACTCGATTGTGGTTGTAGTTGATCAGTTCTCTAAAATGGCCCATTTTGTCCCATGTTCTAAGACGTATGATGCAAGCCAAATTGCAAGGCTATATTTTGTTGAAATTGTTAAGCTCCATGGTGTTCTTTGAACTCTCACATCAAATCGAGATGTCAAGTTTGTTAGTCATTTTTGGCGCACACTTTGGTCACGTATGGGTTCAAAGTTGTAATTTAGTAGTTCTCACCATCCGCAAACCGATGGACAAACCGAAGTTACTAACCGAAGTTTAGTTAATTTTTTACGTAGTCTCATCAGTGATAACCCAAAACAATGGGACCTTACTCTCCCACAAGCTGAAGTTGCTAATAATCGATCCACTAATCGCACCACCAGAAGTAGCCTAGCCTGTTCTTGATTGTTTATGGCCAAAATCCACTTACGCCACCTGATTTGACACCAATTCCACTTTCCGGACATGTTAGTGTTACTGGAGATGAACGGTCTGAGCAGATTAAAGAGCTTCATGCGCGAGTGCGTGACACAATTACTAAACACAATGAACAATATCAGACACGAGCTAACAAGCATCATAAGCAGGTTTTGTACAAGGAGGGTGATCTCGTTTGGATTCATTTGTGTAAGGAACAGTTTGCACCTGGTCGTTTTGGCACGCTAAAGCCCCATGCCGATGGTCCATTTCGGGTTATTAAGCGGATAAATGACAACACATATAAAATTGAGCTCCCTGGGCATTACAATGTGTCAGCCACCTTTAATGTAGCTGACTTGTCTCCATATGATGGTGATTAAGATGATGAGGTGGACTTGGATGGGGACGTTTTTCAAGTTGGGGAGGATGGTGCGGGAGCATCCAATATTGGCCAATAATAAGTTTATCTATTTCCTATTATTTGTGTTTAATAATAAAAGTTGTTTAGGAAATTATATTCCTATCCAAAACCTTGTTCCTAGGAAGTGGGAGTTACTTCGATTTTCTTTGTTACCTATAAGTGTTTGGGTGTTTTCTTTTGAGGGATTATCTTGAATATTATTTTGATTCTAAACCTAGATGTATTATCTTTTTTGGCGTTCTTGAGTTCTTGTGATCTTTTGGCCATTTGATTATCAACCCGCATCAGATGGTGGTGGTAACGTTGGTGGGTACATGAAGAAAGGAGATGAAGGGGGTGGGGGTTCTTAAAATATGAATATTAAATTCCATCGATATTCGGATTTAATCCGTTGCTAAATTCCATTTAGATACTTATTATAGTGTATATACACAATTAATAATGAGAAGGTAAACCATCATTCTCAAACCTGTGTGTTTCACCCTGAAATCAGATTATATAGTTTAAATGATCTACTTGTAGTTCTATTTATATAATAAAAATAGAGAATATATGTCTTAAAACACAATACGCATACAGAAAATATGAGTGATTAATGGAAGACAAAGAATTGCTTTTGGAAAGAGGATGGGGGATGCAATGCTGGACATGGGAACCGAGGGTCCTGAGCCGAAAACTGTAGCTCCACTTGAATTTGTGGTATTTAGAATCGATGAGCTTGTACTGCAGTGCAAAATAAATTATATACAATTAGATCTTATATTTTAATTATTATACGTATTAAGAAGTTATCAATTATGCGTAATCTTAAAATTTAGTAATCGCTTTAGTAATAGTATTTAATTAATTTGGTCTTAAAATAACAAAAGTGTGTAATCGTAGATTTGCTATTAAAAAAGGAAAAATAAAAATAAACTACAATCAATTTTGTTATTATCGTCTAATAATTGTTAATAAACAAAAGGAAAATCAGTTAAAACTTAGCAAAAGATATTAAATAATCAATTTTTTAGATAAAATATTATTATTTTAAGATAAATAAACAAAAAAATATATTAAAACGTTATCGACTAATAAAAAATCTCAATCTAGTCTTAGAAAAAGTTGGATAGTTGACCTTGTTGATAGGAATTGGCATGTGTTAGAGCCTGCACAAATATAACAAAACATTTAGATGAGATAGAAAGCTTTTTGTCTAAATAATAATTATATGAGACTATAAAATCAAATAAACGATGATGCACATAATCAATAAGGCATTCCATAACGATTCGTTATTAATGACATAATTCATTTGTAACGTTCATAATTATAAATAAATTTAACATCAAAGCATTTCAAAAAATTGTAATCACAAATTTATTATGTCACATTTTGACATGCAAAAATCACTTACTTTTTATATGTGCCAATGATAAAGTTGGTTGTTACTTTGAGAAATAAACAGGAAATAGTAAGTAATTGACATGAGCTTCCATGTGGGCTTTTTCAAACTCATTGCAATTCCAATATAATGTAAAAAAAAACAACTAATTATAAATATATATGCAGAAAAATCATTATATTATTTTTATGTTGAGAAAAATTTTTATATTAATAATTATCATTTGAAAAAGACAAAAAATATGTTTTTAAGATAAATTTATGACTAAAAACCTGATGTGGCTTATATTTTTGTTTTTCTTTATACGACGTTGATAGTAATTATGATAAACGATTAGTTAAGGAGGGAAAATCAATCATATAATTTCATATGGAGAACACAACTGAACAAAAGTAATTGAACTAAATGTATGTTTTGAAATGTTGTCACATACAATCAAGAAAATATATATATATATATATATATATATATATATATATATATATATATATATATATATATATCAT